GATTAATATACACTAATGGATGTAATCTTATCCAAGAAACTGTACAGGGGGCTTTTTATATATTATACAATTTAATTTGGGAAGAAAATCTGCACAAGTGTACAGCCTATTTTTCATAATTGCACGAGTATAAAATGAAAAATATAAAAGATTAGAATATACAGCTTTGTTTCAGTTTTTACTAAATAAATATAAGAATAAATAGAAGAATATTCTAATTCTTAGTTGATCTAATTATAGAAGATTGATTTTACTAATTGTATTATACTTATAGCAATCTGTCCTATATATTGTATTATACAATATAATTATGCCTAATTAGTTCACATTAATGTTTAAACAAAAAAGGTGAAATTAGTTTATTAATAATTAATACGATAATTAACTTCGTGGTGCGACGAAACAAAGGGGAAGGGGAATGAGAGTGAAAAGGGAAGGGAAATGAGAGAGAAAGGGGTTAGGAGAATGAGAGAGAAAGGGGAAGGAGAATGAGAAAGAGGAAGGAGAATGAGAGAGAAAGGGGAAGGGGAATGAGAGAGAAAAGGGAAGGAAAATGAGTGAGAAAGGGGAAGGGAAATGAGAGAGAAAGGGTAAGGAAAATGGGAGAGAAAGGGAAAGGGGAAGGAGAATGAGAGAGAAAGGGGAATGAGAGAGAAAAGGGAAGGGAAAAGAGTGAGAAAGTGGAAGGGGAATGAGAGAGAAAGGAGAATGTGAGAAAGGGGAAGGGGAATGAGAGAGAAAGGGGAAGGGAAATGAGAGAGAAAGGGGAAGGGAAATGAGAGAGAAAGGGGAAGGATAATGAGAGAGAAAGGGGAAGGAGAATGAGATAGAAAGGGAAGGTAAATGAGAGAGAAAGGGAAGGGAAATGAGAGAGAAAGGGGAAGGAGAATGAGAAAGAAAGGGGAATAAAAGCGAACTGGTTTACAGTTAACTGTGATTTCTAAGTTTATTGCTCTGGTTTGGATTCATTATATAAAAAGCTTTGAATGATATTTGTCGGATCTGTTTCTGGATAAATAAAACTTTTTCTTATAAAATAAATAAATTGTTTTTGTATCTTTCAGACCTGGTTCTTAAAAACATATATACCACTCAATAATTTGTATTAGATAACTGCTCATCTAAGGAAAAATACATATATAGAAATATATATTGATTGTTTTAATAATACCGTTTAATGCTTTGTCGGCCAAAGTTTTCAGTGTATCTTTATCATATGTAGCTATTTATTTCCAGAAGGAATGTAAGTTACCATCAAAACACATAAAACAATTCCCAAATATATACTTCTAATTTTTGTTTGCAACTTTTTCAAAATTAATAAAAATATTATATTTCACTATTGCATTTGATTCAAAATGTATTTAATATTTTAAGTTGAATCTTTTTTGATATTTAGATTAATTTTTAAACCAAACTTTTAAATATTTTACTTTTTAAGTTCTCGCATTTTACTGGAGTCACCCTCCATGGAAAGCTGGTATTGCTTTCACCCTTTAACATTTGTCTGATCAAGTATGAATTATAAATCATCATTGTTTATAATTTTATAAACAGTTCATTTAATTGTCGGTTCTCTGCAAAATGCTGGAAAACCATCGAAAAAAAACACAGAATCAAACACTTTCGAAGAAACGACGTTTCCATATTACTGATCAGATATAACGGTTTCGAGGGTCCTGTTGTGAATCTGGTATGTCATATTTTTAAACGGAATAAATACAAAAGTTGTAATATTCTGTTGTAATATTCTGTTGTGATATTCTGTTGTAATATTCTGTTTAATATTCTGTTGTAATATTCTGTTGTAATATTCTGTTAGATGATATACTAATATTCTGTTGTAATATTCTGTTAGCGAATATACTAATATTCTGTTGTAATATTCTGTTACTGGATATACTAATATTCTGTTGTAATATTCTGTTAGCGAATATACTAATATTCTGTTGTAATATTCTGTTAGTGGATATACTAATATTCTGTTGTAATATATAATTAGCGGATATGCTAATGCAAAGAGGAAATAAAAAAAAAGTTGTGCAGAGACTTTTGTTTCAAAGAAAGTACAAAAATATAATACATGATTTATATAAACTGAGATTTATCAAACTGCGCGATTCAAGTTTTCATTTTTAAACAGGAAAACTTATTAATCTGAGATATTTTCAAAGCCAAGAGATTTATAAAATTTAAGTTTAGAAACTTGAAGAATTATGGGGACTGAGAGATTGATATAACAATAGAAGATGGTTTTTCAATATGGAATACATACATTTCAAAATCTATATGTTAAAGCTCTTTGATCAAATAAATACATATTTATATATAATACTGTAGTTGGTGTACCGGGCGGGGCAGTACAAACTAAAACCGTAATGGTCGGTTCAGCTCAGATTCAAAAGTACATGAGTTGTGAGTGATATCCATATATGTTAGCTATAGCTGGCCAAACGGCTGGACCAAATAGGCTGACATTTTTTGAGGAAATAACATTCCACGGGCAATGCAGAACACTTTAGCTATTATATTTATTATATTAAAGAACTGTGGGAGATATTATAAAACTGTGGAATATATTATAAAACCATGAAAAATATTTTTAAAATATGAAAGATTTTATAAAACCAAGAACTATATTTTTAAACCATGAATGATATTATAAAGCTATAATATATGTATAATAGACAACACTGCAAACTGTCTGCACCATGCTATTTCTATTGGTTCAGAATAGACAACAGACACATGACTGAACCCTGATTGGATCAGGAGCTAATGGACTCGGCATACAGGAGTGTGCAGGAGAAGATCAAATCTCTGCTACGTCTTTGTGAACTCGTAGATCCTCTAGTTTTGGTTTTGCGCACAAGTATGAGAATTTATCTGCGTACATATTAGAAATTATTTTTGTTCTTCAGGAAAGCTTTACAAGCTCAACAATTTCAAGTTCTTGTGCAATGTACTTTAGTTTAACGTGATTATTAACCAAGTAATGTGTTTTAAACTATGGAAGCTTTTAAAACTTAAAGTTTGATTAAGACGAGAGATTCATAAAACTAGAAAGGAATTGAGTCTTTGCCACAAACTCAAATTTTTTAGTCCCTATATCTTTTGCAACCTAATGGTGAACATATTTAATATTTCAAACTTAGATTATTTGATCTTGAAAAATTCCTAGTTTGACATGGCTAAAATTAAGCCTGATTGCAAGATTTACAGATCTAAAGATTTCTTCAAAACCAGTAAGCTTTGTTGAAAAAAGATATTTATAAAAAAATGTGCAAGAATCGCGAAAATTTGAGTTTTAAATCAATAAGAAAGGGCAGAAATTACAAATAAATGCAAATATCTGCAAAATAAAGTATATTGTATGTATGTAGGGAGAAGGGGGGGGGGGTATTTTTATGTTATTGTTAATTTCAGCCCAGCACTGCGGAATAATAATTTTTTTTCAAATATCACAACTTTACTATTTATAAGTTTCAAGATTAATGCCAAAACAAGTTTTGCAATTTGCCTTTAGCAATAGTTTGGAGTAAAGGTGTTTAATATATTTTTAATGCTCAATAAACACAGGACCCTGAAAACTTAGACTGTCAAAGGTTTATCAGCTGTAACAACTGTGGTTTAGCAACCGTGACAGCTGGAACAGATTTAGTAGCTTTAACAAAGATTTCTTAACAATAGTATTGAATTTAAAAAGAACAAAAGATTTATTAAAAAAGTTCTGGATTATTTTGCAAAACGGTTTTATACAATAGCTTTAATTTAATTCTAAGAAGTCCATTGTATATTATTATCTAAGTTAAGAAGAATTGAATAAAAGATGAATCCTAATCTAACTGATTCTCTGAATATCTTACAATAGCTGGAGAGCTGAGTATAGATCAGATTATAGAATAAAGAAAAGAACTCGGATCTCAAATATTTAAAATAGACTCTATAAATCAAACACTGTCACACTGGATATTTTTCGATCTGTTCTTTTTAACATTTATGCTCAGAACTTAGAGACGATAAACTTACTATCAAAGATTGAAACGATTTAATTATTTTTTCTTCGGAAAAAATAATCTTTATCTTTAATTAATCAATTGTCCAAATATTCTAACCTATCAGTGGCCGAATTTAAAGAATCTGAGCGGCGGTTTAAATTTAAACCGCGGCTTAAATATGGTTGGTTCCACTGAAAATTGTATCAAATGTTTCAAGATTTAAGCCGGCGCTAAATTTAAACCGGGGAGTCACAAATAATCTGATCTCGACCAATGAGAGATAGTAAAACTATAAGTAACCTATTGTTTACGGATTTAAGGACTTAATCGCTTCAAATTAAAAGTGCTCGCAGTGAATATCTATTTCAGATGTTGTGTTTACCATACTTCACTAGACATTTTGGCTGACGACGGTAAAGAATTAAAAGCTAAAGGACACATTCTATAAAAACTGGATCAATATAGAACTTTTGATTCAGACAGATTCATAACTTTAAGTTTTGATTTAAGAAGATTAAATCTTGAGAATTTCTTCCACCTGTCGACTGATTAATAAGAAAGAATAATTTTGCCAAGAATGTAATGCAAGGAAAGTTAATTGCAGTTGCGTATACTCTGCGTACATATTGAAATCAGTTCTCTCTGGGCGGAATTTGTAAACAAGAATAGATGCCTCAGTGTTCGTTAAAAGCATTGAATTTTGATAATTTTGTTAATTTACATAATAGTTTCCTATGACCAAAATATTTCATTGATTATTTATGTGAAAGATGGATCTAATGTCAGGCTTCGACATCCGTCTTGTGTTTACATTACCGTCCAGTGACAGTACACGGCTGTACAAAAGATGCGTACTTCTTTGAAATAACTTTCCTTGCATTAAATCCTTGAATTTTGCAAACTTATTTATGAAGAAATGATAAAATAGTGTTTAATGTTTATAAAGTTTAATCCTCAGTATTTCTAAATATTTAAATCATTGTTTTTAACATATTATTTTTCAGAAGAAGAACTTGTTCAAGAACTAGAGAGTTAGAAAATGCCGCGCTGTTTTCTCATTCAAAGTTTTGTAACTGCTAATATTCTGGCTGGAATTAACCCAGGATTANACAGAAGAAGACTTTTAGTGATATACGACTTCGAGACATCGTAGCTCATCTTGTTTTGATTTTACTCATAATTATGAGAACAGCAAATTTATTTTGTTAGATACTAAAGATAAAAAATATTTGTGGTCTTGTGTTTTTAGATTAGATGAGTTATGATTAAAACATGATTTCAATATAACGTAAAATACAGTTTAATTTGACGAAAATTTGTCCAAAAATAAATTACATAATTTTTAATATTACATGTAAGACTAATCTATTAGGGTATAAATGTCAGTTTAATTTACATATATTTATATATATCATATATATATATAATATATATCATATTTCAGAGCTATATAATTTTCTACAATTAAATAAATCGATTCTAGTGGAATTTATCGAATATTTAGAAGAAAAAGACCATTTATGTAACAAACTATGAAAAGAAATATATCATAGAGTGTAGAGTGTAGAGTGTAGAGTGTAGAGTGTAGAGTGTAGAGTGTAGAGTGTAGAGTGTAGAGTGTAGAGTGTAGAGTGTAGAGTGTATGACGCAATTTTAAATAACCCTGTAGTTATCAGCTAAACACTTTAATCTTTGCCCAATCAGGATGAATGAAATATTATTTGTTGTAGCTAAAAATTGATTATTTTTAATTTTAAAGAGAACATTTATACAAAACACTGAACTCAACGGGTTTACAGATTTTATCTTACTAACTTTTACGCAGATAGATGTTTAAGGGTACCATTGTGAACTGAACATGCTAATATATAAATGGAGGTTTAAAAGTACCATTGTGAACAAAACATGGTAAACTCTAAATGGAGGTTTAAGGGTAACATTGTAAACTGAAAATGGTAATCTCTAGATAAAGGTTTAAGGGTACCATAGTGAACTGATCATGCTGATATCTAAATGGAGTTCATTGGAAATTAACTCTACGATCTTTCAATTTAGATTTATTCTTTTTATTTCCATCATTTTCTTGAATTTCTTTTAAATCCTGTGTAGTGTGAAAGCAAGCATTAGTTTTAGAAATGTTGGGTTCGGTTAATTAAAAACTCCGCCGCAGCTTCGCTTGTTTCATTCGCCATTCGGTCCAAGTTATGATATTAACATTCGCCCAGCAGGGGAGGTGGGGGGGATTAAATTATTAAATTACAGCCGCTTCCTATGTCTATATCTGCAGTTTTAAGAATTCTGTAATTGACATTAATGAGCTGCATAAATTATATTTGATTTGAGTTAACTTGAAAAATAAGTTGAAGTTCCTAAAACTTTTTTTTCGTTTTAAATTTACTCGAAGATTAGGCAACAGGTAATCAATAAAAAAAAATCTATCTAATTATTTAAAGTTAAAAAAATACGGGGGATAAAAAATCTTCTTTGCATGCGTAATGTCTAGTTAGGAAATGTTTAAAACATTGTAAAAAGTTGTTTGTTCTATGATAATGTAATTGCATTTAAAAAAACGAACAGGCGAATTTAAAATAGTAAAAAACAGACTTTTAATTAAATTTTGATGATAACTTTAACTGAAATGATTACTGATAATATTTTTGAATAATTCTAGGAGTATATCAGCATATAAGAAACACAGCTAGTTTTAGCAGTATCAAGCCTGAGCTGGGAGCTGAATCTACAAATATCACAGCAGTTATCGGTCAAACCACACATCTACACTGTATTGTCAAACATATAGGAGATAGGACGGTAGGTTTAATGTTTATAAAATTTATATACTCTGGATTTCAGCTGTCTGTACTCTGGATTTCAGGTGTCTACACTCTTGATTTCAGCTGTCTATACTTTGGATTCAGCTGTCTACACTCTTGATTTCAACTGTCTATACTCTTGATTTCAGCTGTCTATACTTTTGATTCAGGTGTCTACACTCTTGATTTCAGCTGTCTATACTCTTGATTCAGCTGTCTACACTCTTGATTTTAACTGTCTATACTCTTGATTTCAGCTGTCTATAATCTTGTTTCAGCTGTCTACACTCTTGATTTCAGCTGTCTATACTCTTGATTTCAGCTGTCTATACTCTTGTTTTAGCTGTCTATACTCTTGTTTCAGCTGTCTGCACTCTTGATTTCAGCTGTCTTTACTCTTGATTTCAGCTGTCTATACTCTTGTTTTAGCTGTATATACTCTTGTTTCAGCTGTCTGCACTCTTGATTTCAGCTGTCTATACTCTTGTTTCAGCTGTCTATACTCTTGATTTTAGCTGTCTATTCTCTTGATTCAGCTGTCTATACTCTTGATTTTAGCTATCTATACTCTTGATTATAGCTGTCTATACTCTTGATTCCAGCTGTCAATAATCTTGATTTCATCAAACTCATCAAAAATATATGTATACGTTAATAATTGCAGTGTTATTGTTCTAATTCTAATTCTCAACTCTTATTTGAAATTCTGTGCTGGGCCTCGTCTAGTATCTTTAACTTTTTTTAATATAAGATAGCTTATTATTTATTTTAAGAACACAGGTGGAAGGAAAACTAAACAAAAGTATAAATCACAAATCAAATCAATTGCTAGTATACGGTTTCAAATATATACCTCTTAAAAAAATATATATATATACTTAAACAAAAATAATCATAAACTAAACAACTTATATACAAAGAGGAAATGGGGATTTAAGTAAAGAGGGAGATCAGAAAAGTCTAAATAAGGGTTACGCAAAATAATACCCAGTGCAGCAATATTGTTCTAGAGGTCCCCTGGGAAAGGAATCACACTTACTTCTCGAAATGATAATGGGGGAAAGGTTATTTGCAACCAACCAAAAGGGAGGGGAGAGTGTATTGGCAGGGGCAAAAACGGACGGGGGGAAATACATTAAGGGTACAGATATATGGGGTGGGAGGCCTACGTTGGCTTAGGCATTATTAGGGTAATTATGGATTGAGATTATCCTTTATACATAGAAGGGTAGGAGATGCTAGGCGGCCTGGCTTGGTAAGGGGGAGGGAACATCAATGAGAGTATAGAGACAAAGGGAGGGGAGGCTTATGCTTGCAGAAGGCCTAATTATGGAAATTAGGGAGGGAGAGGAATCATTATACACAGAAGGGTGGAAGATTCTAGGCCTGGCTAGGTGAGGCCTAATTATGGAATAATTGTTTTTTCAGATAAATTATATATAATTGGTCCCATCCACCCTCTGAATTCATACAATTCATATTGATATATTGTTCTTACATCACTTATTACAGATAAAATGGCGAAGATATAGCGGGGGTGGTGTTGGTTTGATTGACATAATTATAATACTAGTCTTTGTCTCCTTGTAGAATAAGATTTGCACAGGTGCACAAAAATATAAATATTTTTTTGCTAGAATATGAACGAACTACGCACAGGTTTAATTAATATGAAAAAGCACGTACAATATTCGAAATTAAAACATAACGTAGTTTTGTTTAATGTTTCTTATTTCAAGCTCTTGCCAATATACATCAGCTAAAATTTAAGAACATTTGTTTTGTATTTTTTCTCCAATATTTTCCCCGATTTCAAGTTTTGTGAATTTACAGCGCAAATATTGGAAATTTTCTCCCATTATTGTTCTTCTCCTGGCAGGACAAACTATAAACTTAGTTTGCATAAATATAAAAGGGACTGTTCACCAATTTGAAAACATGAAGAAAGCCATTACTTTACAAAAACTTTTTTGCAATATGTTTTATACTTTTTTTTTAAAAAAGATAAACGCAGCATTGGTTTATGTATCTCATAGTTAGATACCTTTCCTTACGCTCTACATTTACTGAATATTTTTAGTTTGATAAAAAGGAAAATTATAAAAATCTAAAAAAATACTGTGATATTTTAACTTTATCGATTTAAAAAAAACTGTATTGTTTAAGAGTACATTTTGCATTAATTATTCATTTAAAGACAAGGTTTCATGTTATCATAACTGTACAACATTATCAAAACAACTTTATATCTTATAAGAAAGCTAAAAATGTTGTTTTCTGTTGGAAAAATTAATAAAAGTTGCTTTAAAGGGAGTGTTCGCGAAAAATGAAAGGGGGTATAGGCTTAATGCGATAAAAAAGCGCTTTTGATCGCTACTAATCTTACTTCTATCTGTTGCGTCTATAAGGAGAAAATTGTTAAAGACGTCTCATACCGAATAACTTAGCGCCCATACAAATTCAGAAAATTGCAACATTTAACTTAGACCGTAAAAAATCAATTTAATTTCAAACAAATCATTCATATATTACAACCTATAGTCATCGATTATCTTTCGCCACATTTGTATATAGTTGATTTTTCATAATATGTTTTAATAGTTATGATCTGAGAGTTACTTATAAAAACATTTATTCCTGTTTCGGGGATTTTTGGCAATGAAGACGACATTTTCATATTTTCTAGGAATATTCGAAAACAAGTTGCAAGCTAAATATTATTTTTAAAAATCAAATCAAAACGTATTATGAAAAATCAACCAGATACAAATGTGGCGAAAGATAATCGATGACTATAGGTTGTAATATCTGAATGATTTGTTTGAAATTAAATAGATTTATTACGGTCTAAGTCGTATGTTGCATCTTTCTGAATTTGTATGGACACTACTTTCTTCGGTATTAGTCGTTTTTAACAATTTTCTCCTTATAGACGCAACAGATAGAAGTAAGATGAGTAGCAATAAAAAGCGCTTTTTTATCGCATTAAGCCTATACCCCCTTTCATTTTTCGCGAACACTCCCTTTAAAGGGACAGTAAACGTGATTTCAATTGATTTCTGCAGAAATAACAATGCACAAATTCACAAGGTTTCCCTTGCAAACTCTCATAATTAATTTTGAAGTTATTGTCGTCTTTTTTTCATTAGTTTACAACAGTTTAATTCTGATAATTCCTATCTGTTTTCTTGCAGCAGAAATGCACTATTTTATAGAAATCAAAACTGAAAATAATCAGTTTTTAAAAATTATAAACATTAATATCTAACTCATATATAACTTGATTTAAGGGTACACTATAGAGATAATTGTTGAAAGCTAATATTATAAGATTATAAAAGATAAAAAATCGTTAATTTATAAATAATATAAAAGTTGTCCAGCTATATTGAATTATAAAAATGACACAATCTTTAACATTTCTATTCTCAAAAGGATCGAAATTAGTAAACATTCCCTTTTATAGGGTTAAATAACACTTTTATTGCTTGATAAACGGGTAGACTCGAAGTTGAATATTTTATCTGATTTTTTTAATATAATGCAATTATCGATAAAAGGATAATAGTACAAGGGGATGGGACATCTATATCGAAATAAATGGATAATGGGGGGGGGAGGTTCTAATTATTAAACATATAATTATACCTAGCTTTGATTTTAAAAGGATTTTTTAGGGGTTTCCTGAAAGGGGGAAGGTTGAAGTAATGGCCATGTGCTAATTCTAATTTTTATTGTTGTAAATTTTGTGCATTGAAATGTTTTCCTTACATTTTAAAATCAGATAGAATATATAATAGTTTTGAAACATTTCTGAATTCTTTCTCCAAAAATCTTCAAGTTTTCTCCTTTTATTTTGTTTTACTGATTGATTTAAATTAAATAGATTTATGTTTTCCACCACCTTGTATTAAATTGCTTAGAAAATGTTTATAAAAATCCTTGAGTTTTTGCCACTAACTCTAATTTTGTAATTCTTATATCTTTGTAACCCGATGTCGCAGACCTTAAATATTTCAAATCATGAATACTGTTTGATCAATATAGCCTAAGTATGAAATATCAAAAGTTTACACCATCAGATTGCAAAGATATAGAGATTTAAAAATTTGAATTTTTGGCAAAAACTCAATTCCTTTAGAAGAAACTGAAATTTTCTGATGGTTAATTGGACTAAAAATATTGATCAATCTTCTCCTTCAGGATTATTTGTAATTATTGGGATATTATACAGGGCTCGAACTTCATCTCTCAAAAAAAGTAAAAACAAAATAAAACCTCTAAATTTTAATATTTTTATTTCAAATAAAAAGCAAAAGTTTTCTTGGTTGTCCATCTTGAGGCTCACTCGATGTAATCGCCTTCAGCCTCTATCACGGCCTCTAAACCGGGAGTAGGCCTTAATAACCAGGTCCCTGGTGAGGGACGCAAAGTGCTCTTTTTTGGATGCAATTAGACTAGCCTTAGTGGTGTGGGGACATCTATTGGTATGTGATTCGAGGTAGCCCCTAATAAAATAATCCATCAGATTAAGATCGGAGCTACTGGGAGGCCATCCTTTCTGACAAGGTCGTAGCAGTTCTCCGGAGCCAGGAAATGGACCCATTTGACAAATGTCAGAGTCCTGCTGCAAGACCCATTAACGATCTCCAGCTATGCGCGGTGATCCAGGGCAACACTGTCAGCTCCATGACCTCGAGGAAGATTTTGTGTTGACCCAATTAACCCGCACCCCATAACCGTTCTAGGAAACTTGGTTTTCATCTCTCTTGGGACATCCTTAGGGCAGGTGCAGCGATCCACCTGTAGCTCTGCTTGTTGTATATTTGGTCCTGGCAGATTTTTTTTTCGTCTGAGAATAACTAGATCTTTGTGTTCTCCTTGGGGTGCTTGATCTTGTTCAGGAGTTTTGTGGAGTTCAGCAGCCTCCGGCGCACCTCCGCTCAGCCTCCGTAAACACAATCTCCGGTAGATTTAAGTAAACTTGCACCATGTTGCAAAATTAAATACACTGATGATTCAATCCGACTAGTATGTATGGTTTTGGAAGATTTTAAAAAAATCGGAATTAAAGCAATATTTAATTTCAGCTCGACCTAAAGACAGTTAGCGTCAATTTGAAGTTCGAGCCCTGTATATATTATATATATCATATATTTTCAACGGTGTTAGGTATTTTCCCGAAGGCATTATTCCAAGGGCGACTTCCCAAGTGACAATTTCCCAAGTGGCAACTTCCCAAAGGTTAGGTTAAGCCCTCTGAGGTGCCGCAGGCTGCAATTGGGACCAAGTGCTGCGGCTAGGATGGTCTAAGGATCTGAGCACCTTGGATAGAACAGGCTAGGTGGACCAAGCTCTGCGGCTAGGACAGACCTGCCGCTTGGGAAATTGCATATTTGGAAGTTGCCACTTGGGAAAATACCCTTGGGAAGTTGAAACTTGGGAAAAATTCTTTGGGAAAGTACTTACAATATTTTCAACTATATGAATCATGATTAATAATACTTTTCTTTTAAAACGATACATTAATTCCATTAATGAGTTCTATAAAATTAATTATTATACAAAATTACAGAAAAATAATTTCTTTTTCTAACCACCACAGCAGTGTGGCTTGGATTTTCCTTCCATTTAAACAATGTTGTTTATGAAGGGTGCTTCTCGATGCGCTTCATTTGCACAGGAAATGTCGTCTCCTATGTGGTGAACAGTGAAATCCGTAATTTAATGACGTCACTATTCCTTACACTCGCCTCTATAATCAGTGACGTCATTTTAGGAGACGGAGACGACATTTTCCGTACAGTAACCTTGATTACAACTTTGATATAAAGACTCTTATTGCAAGTGATATCATTTTTTTGCATTTATACATTAATGATACTGTTCCTCTTTTCTGGAACTTCTACCGGTGTTTGAGGCGGGATGTCCCAGGGGACTAATTGCTGAACTCCTAAAAACCATAAATTATCACAGAAATTGTACTTTTCTTATTTTCCCATTTCTTTTATAAAATTATTAGAGTTTACAGCCGGGGGATTAGAACCAATTTAAATGTGCAATGCAGTGAAATGAGAAAATAAATTCAAAATAAAATATTTCTTTGAGTTAATTGTTAATATTTTCATTGTCAGGAAAAAGAGAGAGGGAAGGCAAGTCACAACCAATATTTGTCCGAGCCGCATTATCTTCATTTCCAAAACCTAGCAAAGCAACCTTCATCCGGCCATCCTCTTTCTATCAGAATATTCTTAATTTTCATTCAAAAGTCGATAAAAATGCTTAATATTTAAATTTCATAGCCTAATAGATGTATAAAAAAGCTAATTCGAAAAATGTACTTTTAAATGGTGAAATAAGTTTTAAAGTCAAGTTTCACTTGACTTTTAAACGGGACCTCTATTTTACCGTCACTATACTGTGTAATATCTGTATTGAAGATTATCTAAATGTTCGGGAAAAAGATTCTTTACTTCATAAAACTTAAAATTAATACTGCTCTTTCGATTTACGAAATTTAAATATTTGAACTAGGGGCCCTTTTGTAATACATTTTTTAACGGGATTTATATTCAAAAATTCGACATTTTAAAAGATATTATTGCAAGGAAAAGCATTTTGTGGAGGCTTGGACGAGAAAATTAAGAGAATTTGGCTCGGGAAAAAAGTTGCTGAGTCTGGCCTTTACTCCTACAACTCTTTAATACAGTGTTTAGCTTACTTTGAATATTATTTTAGACGNAGAATAGTAAAAATAAATCTGATATTGATAGACTTCTTTAAGATTCCGTTTATTTGTGTATCTTGCCAAATACATGGTGCAATATATCAATAGCTGCATTTATTCTTTTATATTACTGAGCTGGGGCCAATTTTTATAGACTGAAGAATGGTGCAGTAAATATAAAAATGCAGGGTGAACTATATCATGTCATGCTCGGGATTCATATTAGGAATCTTCTTCTAAGTTTAGAAGCAATTGATAAAAGAAAGGATTATATTACTAATATTTTGGATTAAGGTTTGTGGTGTATTTTGTACCCGCATAGAACAAACGACCCTGTTTTAGAGTCTGAAAACGACCCGCACGACCCCAAAAACTGGCGCCGGTCCGACTCTGTTTTAGTACTAATAAAAGAGTCGTTTTTAGACCGAAAAGACCCTGAATCCGTCTCTCCTCAAAACGGATGGGTGTCGGTTTACTTCACGGCAGGGGGCCATTATCTCCCTCAAGATTTATTACTTTGGCGCCATATGTCTACATCTGCAAGCTGTCGAGACAAGCTGTTTTCCACCCCCCACCCCCCCCATCAACAAAAATTAAG